TGCTTTTGGTGGATGAAGAAATTTGCCTCACCTTTATCCTTCCGGGCTGGTACAGGGACACAGAAGGCAGTAATGGTGTGGAAGTGTTGGGGGCCAGGGCCACCCCGGGGCCTCCTCGGCTCCGCCCCTGCCAGCTGCTTCGTATCTCAGCCTCTGAACGGTCACAGCGGAACTCGTCACTGCTGCTGCGAGGGCTCTACGTGTGTTCATCTGAAAAGTTGAGTATAAACCTTATACAGAGCAGTTTTGGGTTAGAATCTTCACTCGTACTAATTCATATAAAGTTACTGAAACAGCTGCGTTCGTCGAGTTTTGTGCAGTTTGCGCTTTTATACTGTTTTTTTTACTAGAAACTGAGAGAAAGCAGCTTCCCCGGCTGGAAATTCAAAGCAACGTAAACATTTCAACTTCAAAGGACACTAGCGTTTTAAAATGTTGTTCACTCACATCTATGTTATGAGCGTTTTTTTCCACGAACAGGAAAAATAACTTCCTACATTGTACATGTGGACTTTAGTGTCGCAGTTTTCCCACTTCCAGTTGTCTATCAGCTGGGCGGGGCTCCGTCTAATCTTTGGAGAAAGACGCTAAACCGTGAACTAACAGCCACCCTAATAGCTTATTTATATTTCACTGAGTGTGTAAACAAGTGTGTGAAACTGTGCTTAGTTACTTCCAAGTGTAGGGTGAAGGTTACGGGAAACACTATTGGAAATGACCCGGTATAAGTGCTGGGTGAGCTGACAGCAGCAGCAGCAGCAGCAAGAGAAGGAGTTGCTCTCACGTGAATGCATCTGGAAAAACATTTCTAAGTTTAATTCTTCATAAGGCAATTTTTTTGTATAAAAAATACAAAAACATTTGGGGTTTAACAGCTGACATTTTAGCTAACAAACAACAAAAACAACTACTTGGTTCATGTGATGAACTGGTGGCCTACTGACTGAATGACCATGATGACAGACCATAGATCTGCAGCTACTGACCCACTTCATCAAGTCAGTGTTGTTTCCACGATACATCCAGTGTGTCAGAACAGTGCAGTCATAGAGAAACTAAACAGAAAATGCTTAAAACACAAAACTATACTGACATAACCATGAGCGATTCTTGTTGTAATTATATCTCTTCAAAGAGGTCGCCTTCGTCCCTGTTTTCTAAAGTCACACAACTTTTAGTTCCAGTTTCTAATGATCGGTGTCGTCCTAATGCTGGGATAATACTCCCTAACAGACAAACACCTGTAGACACGCAGTTGTTTTAATTTATGCTACTTTCTAGCACGCATGGAGGATGTGTTCCACACCTGCACACTGAATTGACTTCCACATAATCTGTGCATGTGCACCACTGCCTTTGTAGCATGCAGGCTGAATTTTGGCTGCACATGAACATCTTTTTGGGAACAATTTCTCATTGTGGTTCTCCGTCTCAGTTTCCCACCAAATGTCTTCTGTATCAGGGTTAACAAAGCCAAGAGTTTCTTCTTCTTCTTCCATGTTGTTGTGGTGAAACACAGTGGTACAGAAACAATTCAAACTTCCTCACGGTTGCAGGTTTTTTATAAATGGTGGTTGTAAAGTCCTGGGAAACGGGTTATTGGTTATCTACATACAACAGTCACCTTCAACTTCTCATTTATTGCTTAAGTATTTTTCTCCAAACCCCCCAAAATTGCTTAAATTTAGACTGTTTATCATGAAACAGTCTCCCTGGTTCGGGTGGAAATGTAGGTAGTTCCTCAAAAGGTTCTCAGCTCCCAGAGAAAGTTCCTGCAAAAAAAGTGACAGAGGAAATAATCCCAGCCAGATAACAATTGATCTGTGTTGGCTTTATTCCTGCTTTTCTGCACCAGCCAGCTGTGGCAACGTGTTAGCAACATGTTTGACGATTTAGCTGCAACGTGTTCTAATTGTGTACCAACCTGTTGTGTTTCTGCAGCAGCATGAGTCTACGAGAGATCACTGAGAATGTGAAGCTGGCCCGCGAATACGCCCTGCTAGGAAACTACAGCTCGGCCTGCGTTCTCTATCGTGGGGTGCTTGAACAAATCCAAAAATATGTGTCTGCTGTGCGAGACAGCGGTTCGCAGCAGAGATGGCAGCAGGTAAATCTGGCATCCATAAAATAACAGATCATATTCAGGATGGAATCCTGCCTGTTCTAAAATGTGATATGTGTATTTGTTTTTGTTTTTTTCCTCAGGTGTGGCAAGAAATTAGTGAAGAGAATCAACAGGTTCAGGACATAATGTCAACTCTAGAAAACTTTCAGCTGGACACGTCGTCTGTTAAACCCAGTAACTATGATGATTTTGAAAAAAGACCAGTGCATGTGGAGCAGAGGTATTGCATTTGGTTATTAAAATACAACATTAATTTTCATCTACTCATTCATTGCTTAAATAATTTTCTTCATTCACTTATTTTTTCTTCCAATTCTGATGTTTTCTGAACACCAAAGTTCTAGGTCTCTTTTCACTTGTGCAGTCCACAGGTTTGTGGCTGGTGTTGTGTGAGCTATTTGTCTAAATACAATAGCCCTGATGTAGTCATATGATTGAGATTAGTAAACTTGAGTCCCTGATGTGAGCCTGTTTTGTTCCTACTCTGTCTGGCTGAAAGGTCGTCTGTAAACCTCATACAGCCTCTTTGTTGTTTTTCCCTTTTTGTCTCCATTTACTACTCTGGCTGTATTCATACACTTGTTGAGCTTTCCACATACAATATAATGTGTCAGGAAATACACACAAATATGTCTATACTCTAATAAGTCATTCATCTGGTGAGTTTTGTACTGACAGCCCCATGATAAATATGGTAAAGTTGGATTTTTGAAAATATTGGCCTTGTTTTTTTGTTTTTTTTCTTCCCCCAAACATAATTGCATCAACTTGTCAGTGCTTAATTAAAACTAAACAGTTGTCATGTGTAAAATAATGGTTTCAGCTGTGAAAATGCATGACTCGGAGGGCTCGTGCTTGTTGTTAATAGCACCATCTTGCTGTCCTCCTTTCACAGACATTCTCCTTGTCCTGTCAGGCGTTCTTCTAACCTCTATAAAGAGAGCAAACCTGCCAACAACCACCTGAGCGGGGCCGGGAGGGCCCAGCAGAGGCACGCGCCTCGAGGGGCCAACGGAGACAGAAGCAAACCTTCCAAAGGCAAAGAAAAGAAGGAACCAAAAGAGACAAAGGAGGCTGCTGGCAAAGCAAAGGACGATAAGGTGAAAGACATACTGGTGGTTTGAACTTGAAACAATACACTACCTTTTTCTTTATTATAATTACATAATATTTATTCAGAGGCAACTGTTTGCATTGCTCATCAGACAGTATCCATATGCTGCATTTACTTACTGCTCAGCCTGTCATTCCAGTTTTTCTGTCCGGGGGAAACCAGACCACATGGGTTACCCTCAGCAAACTGGGAAGAGTAATGTTTTTTTGTTTGTTTTTTTTGTTTTTTTTTTAAAATCTGCTTTTCAGAACAAAAAATCAGATGTCCAGGAAAAAGAAATGAAAAAGTTTGACGGGACAGGATATGATAAAGACCTCGTGGAAGCTCTGGAGAGAGATATTATATCTCAGAATCCAAATGTGAAATGGTAGGTGAGCTCTTTGGGAAATGTGTTTGTTTGATAACTTTGCAGTTTAGTCCTTCTTGTTTTGTAGTCAGCGGAGCTAAATCTGCACCCTTAGTAGTGAAACTATTATCTTCTCTAAGAGTAAGATAAAAAAGATAGAAAACAAGCAGATGGTAAATTGTTCCTTTGTAGCTTTTTTCGGAAGAAGTCGTTAAAGCAGACATTTTGTCTTGTCGCAGTAAGGAAAGGAAAGCACAGGCTGAATCCCACTTAGGGCAGGTCCTGCTGTTGTGCATGTGGGTTCATTATCACAGCTTACTAGGACACTTGAAAGAACTGAGAAATTGTTAATTTCACCTGTTCGTTCACTGCTGTGACACATGAAAATGTCTACTGCAAATCAGGTGTATTCTGAATGTGGGTGTTCTGGGTGTTTATTGTGTCAATACTTTCACTCTGTGGACTCCTTTTTCACAATATACAGTGTAGCACCTCTATGGAAACAGCACAACTGTGACTAGAAGTAGAGAGAACTAAAATAAATGATTTTGTGCTGCATAACAAAATTAAAATGTCATTAATCATTATAAAGAAAAAGCAAAAGTATCCATAGGTGTTACCAATACTGGGGAAAAAAATGTGACTCTACATACTGCACTTGCATTTTTTATTTGTTTGCATCCTCCTTTTTGCTCTGTCAACACAACCTGTAGTTTGATTTGATTTTACATTCAGACAACTAGAAAAACATTAAATTATGCTATAAACATAGACTGTGTGTAAAAGATGGATGTAGCCACAGCAACGTCACTCATCAGTTTGTGGAATAAACATTTGAAGCCTCGAGTTTTCACCTGGCCGTCCCACCTGGCCCTGAGAAAGAATGGCAGTTTAAGTCACTTCTGAATTGGTTTCACTCCTCTGACCTGAAGGCGATGGCCATCTTTTTTTATATTCAGTATGTTTTTAGAAATGGAGACATCAAGGTGCAGACTTTTTAGCAAGACTTGTACATTCTTTTGGGTTTATCAGACTTTCTTTCTGAGAACTGTTCAATGCAACCTCCATCTCCCCTGTTTCTCTAGGGATGATATTGCAGACCTAGAAGATGCAAAAAAACTCCTGAAAGAAGCAGTCGTGTTGCCAATGTGGATGCCAGCATTTTTCAAAGGCATACGAAGACCGTGGAAGGTACTGGTTTATGGAGAAGTTTGTATTATTTCTTCTTTTGCAAGCATTGCTATTACATGGAAATCATTTTCCACTTTAGGGAGTGCTTATGGTGGGACCTCCAGGAACAGGGAAAACGCTTTTGGCCAAAGCCGTTGCTACGGAATGCAGAACCACGTTCTTCAACGTGTCCTCATCTACGCTCACCTCCAAGTACAGAGGAGAGTCTGAAAAATTAGTTCGCGTTCTCTTTGAAATGGTAAGCTCAGCCACTTTGGATCGTCAGTTGTTGTTTTTTTTTTAGGTTTCTTATATGTTCTTGGCCTCATGGCTGTTGTTGTTGTAAACAAGGTTCCTGTGCAACAACATCAATAAGAGATACTATTTTACATTATGTTGTATTCTCTGCCATTGGTAGGTCTGTAAGTCAGTTGTAGAGCCCTCTAGTGGTCAAAATCTAAGTAATGCACATTTAATGTCACAATTGATATACTGCTAATTTTAAAATTCAGTCTTGCCTCTGGTCTCGAATTCAGTTAAACTTTAGATCAAGTGAAGTAGTTATTGAAATCTATCTCACTTCTCTGGCAGATTTGTTTGTACACAATCCCATAGTTAAGTTTTTGTTCATACAGTATTTCCTGAACTCTGTCATTGCACGTGTCTTTGTACAGGCACGTTTTTATGCTCCAACGACAATCTTCATTGATGAAATTGACTCCATGTGCAGCCGAAGAGGGACATCAGAGGAGCATGAGGCCAGCAGGAGAGTCAAGGCCGAGCTACTGGTGCAGATGGATGGTAAAACACCTACTATGCGTTCAGTTTAATTTACTAAGTGCAATTCCATCCTGTGCAATACATAATGTTTACCCTTTGAAGCACTTTTTGCTGACCGATTTAAACAAGTTTAATCAGATTTTTCTGCAATATTGCCAGTTTTCCAACATTCTACTTATACTCTACAGCTCTAAAAGCAGAAATATTTCTAACAAAGCAAATGTTTTCTGAGGCCTTTTCCGTTTTTGTGGATTTTGTGCAGGTGTTGGTGGAGCGTCGGAGAACGACGACCCGTCAAAGATGGTGATGGTGCTGGCCGCCACCAACTTCCCATGGGACATTGACGAGGCTCTGAGGAGGCGGCTGGAGAAGAGGATCTACATACCACTGCCTTCAAGTACGATCATCTCTTCGCTGCTCATTATGAGCAGAGAAGTGTGTATAATTGAAAATGCAATTTACTGCAGCTTCTAAGTGGGTCTGTAAAATTGTTAAACATCAAGAAAGTTGAAGATAACTGTTCTGGCACATCGGCTTTATTACGTCTCTGTTAATTGCCCCCTGTGCTGACTAGATAACAGTCATAGCAGATTAACCTACCAGGGAGGTCCTGGGGTATATCTGTTGGGCCCCCACATTCCTCACATTCTGTACCCTGTCACCTTCAAGTACAGTGCACACAGCAGACTATACATACTATATTTGAATTAGTTTTTTGCTCCAGGACAGCTCTGCAGGAATGCTGCCTAATCCAGTGTCTGTAACTGGGAGTGTCCTGGTCAAGAGTCCCAGACTCCCAATCCCACACCATTTTTCTAGATAATACACACCTCAAGAAGATTAAAGTTATTATTGTAGGGACCCCAGAGCAGTTGTCTGTGTTTCCTGGTTGTTAGTCTTGAGTAGGGACCTTTATATGTCCACTGGTTGGCTACATGCTGTGGCTACTGCAAGTGGTAGCATTTTCCTACTTACTGTTGCCTCTGTGTTTCCAGCTAAGGGGCGAGTGGAGCTGCTCAGGATCAATCTGAAGGAGCTGGAGCTGGCTAACGACGTGGACTTGGACAAGATCGCAGAGCAGATGGAGGGCTACTCAGGAGCTGATATAACTAACGTGTGCAGGTGAGGTTTTCTTTCAAAAAAATGCTCACTATCTCCAAAGTAGCTTCTTTGGCAAAAAGTACAGAGACAAAACAGCAAATTTAGGCACTAAGTACATGCCATAGCTACGGTGGATAGAAACCATACAACCATACGCTTTATGTCCATTCCCCTCCTGTTCCCTGCCATTGACTGTAATTTAATTTTATTCTGTCATGTTCATGTTCAGTAGGTTTGGTGTTCACATATTTTTTGTGTGTATGGTGTTTAATCTCATTACATAAAGGCTTTATGTAGAAAGCTGATGTAATTTAAAGCTCGTGTTTTAATTTAAAATCAATATTTCTGCAAAAATTCAGAAATTCATGTCATTGACAGATTCCATTGAAATCTTGGCTCCTTTAAATGAAATGAAATGAAAAATACTTTATTTATCCCAGAAGGGAAATTCAATTAAGGCTCTTAATTAAACTGTTGTGTGGTGCAGGGACGCCTCTCTAATGGCCATGAGGCGAAGAATCGAGGGCCTCACGCCAGAGGAGATCCGCAACATTTCCCGGGACGAGATGCACATGCCCACCACCATGGAGGACTTTGAGACAGCTCTGAGGAAAGTGTCCAAATCGGTTTCAGCATCTGACCTGGAAAAGTACGAAAAGTGGATCGAAGAGTTCGGGTCCTGCTGAAAAAAGTCAGACTCCGACTCATCTGTGTTTGACCGCGTGACTAGTGGGAGGCTGTGTAATCCAGGTAACAGAGGGTTCTAACGTGACCATGTGTGTCAGGCTGAGACTTTAAATTCCTCTGAATCAGTCAGTTGATTTGGATGAAGGTAGGTCATTACAGTGGGTAAATAAGTGCACTTAAAATCAGCACCTCTCCCTTTTTGTACATTATGTTAATGTTATGCAAACGTTTTAATCTGAAAAGGTCTAAAGAGTCAACTTCAAGAAGTTATGGGTGATGGCTGTCATTTCATTTGCAAAATATTTTATTGATCATGAAGTCATCAAATGTGAGCAAAGCTCACAAAACTGAGGCTACAAATCTCCAGAGAGTTCATTCCAGACATGTTTTCTTCAACTTTACACAAGTGTCATAATATGTTTGTACTGTTCTATTTACTTGCAAGCAAATCCAATGCTATTCCTGTTGGCTTATTTCTTGTTTTTATTGCACTTGATCATATTTAGAACCACATGGTTCTGTGACATTTTTGTAGATGTAAATTATTGTGAACAAAACACTAACTAGATATTTCTATAAATAAAAGTTTATAAACATTAACATAGTGTTGCATGTAAGTTCATCTATTTGTCTGCTGGGAAGTGTAAAAACATTACAGTCGCAGTTGAAGGATTTACTTTAAGACAGAAAACTGAAAATAACCAAAGAGGGTGAGCAGACAGATTTCTAACTTGAGTATGGTCGTTGTTAAGATCGATTATTAGCTACAGGAGCTAATAGGTGGTTTTCTGTGGTGTGGAGCTGTGCTTCCAATGCTATGAAAAGACTACGTTTATTACAAGTTCCATTATCACTGAAGGACAAAGAGGAAAAACTGTAACATGCTGAGAAGGAAAAAGCGAGGGAGTGACTGCTGATAAATTTTAATAATTCAATTCAGTTAATTGTATTTATGTAGCGCCAACTCAAAACGCACGTCATCTCAAAGCACTTTCATAACAAGTTGAAGACCTTACGAATTTTAAACGAACAACAGAACCCAACAATCCAAAGTTGCTTTTAGTGGGATGGATTGCTCTGGTTGCTAAACAGTTGGGATCTGTTCCTTCATTACCTTAAGCATGCCTTTGGTTTTTCTTTTTAGTGCTTACCAGCTGATGTACACAACACCACCAATATATGATGTGTGATAAGATAATACTTTAACTTTAATTAATTACAGCTCCCCTGTTCATGTGTGTCTCAACAAGACCTTTTCCAAAATGAAACAGAGTGTGAGTCTTCAGACCTTTGTGTAATGTTAGATTTGACACTATTTAGGACACCTTATAGGGAAACACTGTGATGGTCGTAAGGAAAGCATTTAATCAGCATGATTTTAGACTCAAATACACAGTCCAGCTGTAATTCATACAATTTATGCACACAGATGTCAAAAAGATAACACATGGATCGAACACCGTTAAAACAAAGAGCAAATTAAAACATATTTCTGTCGTTTATTACCTCATGCCTGATACATTGTTTGCCTTACAGGCTAATTTGGTGTTATCTACAGCACTCTGTTGTATAGAGTTGATCAATTAGGAATCTGAGGCAGATATCAATGCTGCTTTGAGTCATCATGCAGTTTCATAGTTTTCATGTATAAGTTGCTGATTGAGCAGCAAACTGCATTCACTAGCTAGACAACACATGCACCTTTTGCTAACGCAGTACATCATGCATTCTGCAGTTTTAACTGAGCCCCGGGGAGATAAAATCATGTCTTCAGCTGCTCTGAGGTGCACAAGCTGATGCTTTTAGGGTGTCTTCGAAAAAGCATGACAAGTAATGAAATAAACACACACACACACACAGAAAATAAACACGATAATGAACTTAGGATGACTCAAACCCATGTTTTTGACTGATGACCAGTCCACCTGTCTGGTCCCTCAGAACCAGCCCAGCAAACCATCTGGAGCGATACTGAGGAGGTTTATTGTCTGAGCCTACAAATCCTGCTGAGATTAACCACATCCATGCAGGTTTCACTCACAGGTTCAACTCTTAAGTGCAGATTCTTTCTTCTAACAATAGGTATTGTACTTTCTTTTAAATCAGTCCAGTCAGAGCAGTAGTTTGCCTTTTATGTTTAGAGTGCATAGACATTCTGAAAGACATCACTTACATTCTCCGATATTAGTAACAGGAAGCTGCACACAAAACCGATTAAGAAAAATACAATATGCTTCCCCATTTAGTGATAGAATCCCCAAAATAGTCACAGAGGCACCGTGAAGAAAGACAATCAACATATTAACCTCTAAAGTGTGCAGTCGGCCTCACAGGGAGGTGCTTTTTAGCAAACTTCAGATCCACTGTTTCTAAACTGCAACATGCCGACACGGTGATCTGCATAGCTTTGTCTTCTTTTTGATTAAATATTATTTAATCAGATCAACCGGCAACAGCAGATTCAGTTATACTGGTTCTTTAGCAATTATCTTGTCTTCACTTAAAGGACGACAATATGCCTGCCTCATGTTAAATAAATACATCGAATAAGTGCATTTTCTTCTTCTTCTTTTTTTTTTTTTAACGGCTGTGGGGTACAATTTTGTGGGGGGGAAAGGTATAGTGCGAAAAGAAAGTGTGGCCTGTACAGAAATGCTACAGACACAAAGTGTTTTCTGGGTAAGTAAACTCTTAACTCCTTGGATGCAGCTCCTGAAATGCTCAGTTTGTTCATATTCATTGTTTGGAACTCACTGTGTTTCAGCTTTTTTCCTCAAGCTTGTGTCTGTTCTTACCTGTGCTGCTACATTTTGGTGAAAAAAAAAGAAGAATAACCTTGAGAAAACAATCTCACCAGATGGTCTATTCAGTAGCAGCTCTGAAGCTTCTCGTCTTCAATTGTCAGGTTTAACCATAGTTGTTTTTTTTGAGGATTGGCTTAAAGGAATAGTTTGACATTTTAGGAAACATGCTGGTTGTCTGGCAGCCTTGTGGTAAGACAAACTTCTGGGATGTCAGTACACCCAACAAAAAAAATACCCAATACAATCCACAAGTTGACCTATTCTTAATGGGGTTTTTTTGAATGGCATAAACAGGAGATAACGTATTGTAGATGTTTCATTCGGTTTCCAGTCTGTTTGGTAAGCTACGCTAAAATGACTTCTGGAGCTTCACGAGAGTGGTGTCAGTTTTTTTGACGAATCTGTAATTCACAAAATACCAAACTGTTCCCTCTAAAAGCTTAAAATCTTTGGCGCAAAACACATGATTTTATGAAGAACATCTAATAAACAGACGTTGAGGGTTGTTTGTTTTGTTAACTGCTGACAAGGATCAGCTTTAAAAAAACAAAACACGACTACATAGATCTATATATCGATGTGACATTTGATGTTTCACTTACAATTCAAAGAACAATGACAAATTGGGAAGGAATAATGCCACAGCATGTTTTCGAAGTGGGTAAAACAAAAGTACTCCAAGGTCTTTGTATTAAATAGTAATGCATCACCTTACTAGCTTTGAAAAGCAAGTAACAAAGTGGAGTCATTAGTGCCTCGATAAAGTGACTTTTCATAAACGATCGCACCAATCACTGCAGCAAAGACATTTCCAGACGATGAGATGAGTGCACAGATGCAAGTAACACACGTCAGCTGTCCAACATACCAACCTGAAAGACTGGAATTTGATCTAAAGGCATAATACGGGCTCTTTAAACTAGCTCCTGTTTCACGGCTAAAATGTTTAAAGAGTAAACCGAAGTGAAAAGCAACAGTGGTTCACAGATCTGAATACAGGCTTGGAGCGAAGCAGTAGGTTAAAGAACAAATAGGAACAAACTGGAAGGAGCAGACCAAGTCAATCCTCATTCAAGGCTTCTTCCCTTCTTCCTCTGCTTCTATTTCTATGTTCTCCAGCAGGTTGTGCTTCTCGTCCTCTGGCATTAGAGTGACGGGGTTTAGGTGAAAAATGTGCCTGTGAAACCGAAAAAGAACAATTAAGCATTGTGGGGACAAGCAGAGATATTCCAGCTGATTATTTGTTCAGAAACCCCACACAACAAACTCACTTATGTTCGCAAATTGGGAAGAACATGTCCAAGATCTTGACGATGACGGCCGATCCGGCGACACCTATCACCACCACCCACATCACCAGGAAGAAGAGAGGCAGCGACTCGGAGCAGAAGCGCCGCAGACGAACTCTTGCTTGCTCTACCCATTCACACATGGCCTGAGGACACGATGCACATGGAGACATGAGCATTTCCTGCTGCACCTCTAGAAAAGGTTTCCCAGCAACGTAGGAAGATGTGTGCACACGTGAAGAGTTAGAAAACAAACCGGAATGGTGGAGATGATGCACCTTCAACTGCAAACAGTAGGATTTAAGATTTGATATCTCCCACAGACGACACAACGTTGTGTAGTCTGTGCTAGCGTTATTACTTCTACTTCTCAAAAGCGATGCTTGGATTTGTTGTGTTTCCATGTATAATTTTGAAGAGTCTCAACCTTCACCTCTAAACTAAATGAGTTGGGTAAATTGTTAGACTATATGATATTCTAGGAGCTTGACTGTAGTATTTCATTAAAACAAGTCCATTTCTATTTTAGGGGTTTCTATTAGTTTCTTCTATAATTTCTATTGCAGTCTCAACCATAATTTTTAAACTTAAGTACATTTGTAATGCCAATTTTATTTCTCTGCTGGATGGAACTTAAGCTGTTGTTTTAAATGTGAGATATAAATGACAATGACATGATTTGACTATTAAGGTTTAATTGCAGAAACTGTGTCATTGTCTTCCTCCTACATATTGACTACCACTTTTTTCTACTTAAATGACACATCTCTGAGGCAGTGTTTACTACATGCCATCAACTGGTTGTCTAGTAACAGCTGACTTTTGCTTACAGAGTAAGACGATACAAATTCCTTGGGCGGAGTTTCCATCTGATCCGACTCGGTGGGGTCAAATTCATCATCATATCGGACATCATAAAGCAGGTCGGGGTCCATACGTAGGGGAGTCTCTGGGAGCTTTCCCGGCGCTGCAGTCTCCTCCTGGGTCGTCTCCGTGTGCTTCAGGGGATACTGACTGGTGGTCTGAGACATCAACTGCTCTTCATCTGATGTGAGATAAGAAAAGAATACACACTAAAGGTGACTGCTAAAGAGTACCTGCATAATAACCTTTAGGATATTGAAAGCATTAAAAAAAACCTTTTCTAGAATTTGGTGGATCGGTGACAACCACATCGTTTTCTCTGGGAACCCTGAAGATCTCACTGTGTCCGATGGGGTAGATGTTGGTAAACTGAGCCAGCTTCTGGAAGTCTGGGCTCATCAGGATTTTCACCTCACACATGTCAGGCTGCTGGACCTAAAAGAGAACACAGAGAGATGCAAATTCATTCAAAAATTCATGCAAAGATCCTGAATAACTTAGTAAAACTACACATGACGTGTTACACATTTCGATGGCATAAGAACACGGATACTCGAGCTGCCTTGTAGGACATTTTCTTAGAGTGCTTTAAAACTTTAAAAACTTTTGGCAAGTGTATTGGGAACTTCCATGAATCGTACAGGGGAACCCCTTTTAATTATTGTTATTATTATTATTATTATTTTTTTTTTACTGAAAGGTAGAGACTGCAATTCTGGAGCTCAACTACAACTCTAGTCAAACACTGTAAAAGTACTGTACACTACACAATGACAAGCTGTAATATTGACATTATTCAGCCAGAAAAGGAAGTAGAACAATTTTACAGTAACTGCCACCCTGAAATTTGACTAGATTGCTTCCTTCCAAAATTGTCTGTCTGTCTGAACCTGTGTGTTTAAAACTGGAGAATTAAGGTGGAACTGCTCAGTCAGGGCATTTCCTGCTTATTTCACAAATGATGCATCTTCAGGATTATAAAAACACCATAATCACATGATAACACGATAAGAAAACTTATTTTTGTTGCCAGATAGGCCCTTTCAATTGTACTCGTACTTATTGGATGCATTTATCTTTCTATTGAAGAGTTTCATTGTAACTGAGTGGGACTGTAAGTTTCGACACATCCTCCATAAGGAATGGTTCTCTTGGTACATTCTTTATGTCTAAATTTCAACAACATTTTGCTTGAAAGAGAACAGACGAGTTCAGTTTCTACGATATAAATACAGTTTCTGATAACAATCACATCTTTGGAATACAGTAAGTGATGTTTTCAGCCAGTAAAATTTGACACACAGACTCTATGTGAGAGCTGCAAGTTTAGAAAAAAAAGGGTGTTTACCTCTTTGCCCTCCATTTCTATCACTTCACTGAACACTTGAAGAGCCACCACCTCCTCTGAGTCGCTGTACAGCCTGTTCTGGCTCACCATCACCCGGGTGACGGTCGACACCAAGTCCCCTGATTCAAACTCGGTGCTTCCATTGATGCTCTCCACTGGAAAAAAAATGCAATTTAGTGTTTTTATGAGCATATTGCATTTCACCAACAGTTTGCATTTAGATAAGACCTCATGCCTTGTGCCATTAGTCAGTCCATTAACCTCATCAACACAAATTATGGCTAGGAATTAAAAATGTAAGTCATTTATCAACAGGAAGGGGCTGTAGTCCAGAGAGTGCTAGAGAGAACATTTACAAATGAAGGAAAAGAGGAACAAAACATGCTAAAGTGAAAAAAAACATACACTGCAGAGTTGAGGGAACACACTAATTTACTTTTGTCATTAGTCTACTGTGTGTTCTTATGAAACAGTTCAGGACTACACAGTGTATCGTTTCAGCATTGACGCAATGTTCTCTTTACAAAACGCACGATGTAAAACAAGGCGAGTAATCTTCAGACAACTTTTTTTGCTGACTGAAACTCGTGATTTTCATGACTGATTATCAACAGAAGTCTCTTTGGTTGAACCATATTCGCTCTGATTTAAGGGTTGTTGGATGCACAGTGTGTTTTTTGTTGTTGCTGCATTTACAAGAAACAGAGTTTGTTGGCATGCAGGCTGCACATGAGCACAGCAACATGAGTGAAGCAACACTGAAAAGGAAGATATGGTTGCAAAAAAAAAAAAAACACAATGTCAGTTCAGTGGAAGTATTTTGGCTACAGAAATCATGATGTTGACCAAAAATAGGTAGTCGGTCAGCAGTGACTTGCCACTGTTGTCACTACACGGGGCAACACAACTCATTTGTTTAACCATTTAAATCAGCACCACAAAGCTCTACGGGATGAGTGCAAAGCCTGATCTGAATGCCACCCAAAGCAAAAAACATTTAGTCTGGATACCTTATCCCAGGTTTTTATTTTTATTTTCAATATTTTTTTTTTGATGCAAATGCATTCCCCTGCAAAATCACCCCAACCACAGTTCTGTCCAAATAATTCTGATGACATCTGGTGACAATTCCTGCATTTTTCATATGAACAAACAATCAAATTTGACAGCTCTCATTATATAACAGCATGATATAGAGAAAGAAAAGAAATTCTACTGAACAGCAGTACTAACTTGTTAATTTTACAGATGTTGTTTGGTGTTTTAAGGTGCATCACTCTGAGCCTAATGGTTTCCCCGGCATTCAGTCTATATGCTAAACTGGGCTAATCACATCCTGACTCCAACTTTGCACTTAGCACACATGAGATTGATACTGATCTTCTTATTCCGCTCCACTTAACTGCTACTTGTGTTGCAGGGTGACTTGACAGGATGTTAACAGGCGCTACGGACACAGATGACCAACATGTCGCCCCAGAAACATATGAGTTGTGAAGGAGGGGCATTCATTCATTCATTCATTCATTCATTCATTCATTCATTCATTAAACCTTTAGTTAATTTAAATTTCACCCTTAGATATGGAGGCCTTGTTTACAAAGCAGTAGAGTAGGAAAACACATAAAAACCGTGGACAACAATAAAGATATTAAAAGGCAAAGTTAGTAATAAATAAATAATTAATTAATTAATAAATGAATAAAAACTCACAGAGAAGTGCTTGACAGTTGAACCTGGTGACCCCTGACAGCTCGACTGGGATGTCATTGACGAACACCTGCTCATCGCCCACCGATATATTTAAATTTATCTGAAATAAAAATAAAAAAAAAACATCAAAGTCAAGCTGTTTCTTGTATTTCTAAAAAAAATAAAATAAAAGACCTGCTTTTAGCTAAGTGAGCTGGTTGTTCGTCGCATACCTGTAAATTGTTAGAATCCTGGAGTTGTGTATCCGCCAGTGTCCCTGTTGTGACGTTAATCAGGATGTTTTCCTGTGAGGATCAATGAGTAAAAGTTCATAACAAGAAAACAAAAAGAGGCGTGAGGTTTAACACCATGATGTCTGCCTGCCAGTGTGTTCTTATTGCTGAGCGATCGGGAAGCTACAGCTACGCTAACATCACCATCATCAAGTCAGCGCAGTATTTACCGTCGGTTTTATCGCTTACCGTGTTCAGTTGCCTGGTCGACGACTCTGTGCGTGTTACAGACGCAAAAATAAGAAATATAACACAAACTGTAGGCCATGTCGTTTCCATTTTGACTTCACCTACCAGCAGCAGAGGAGCTTCAACAAAAACATTGAAGACATGAGAACTGCGCAGGCGCGGGGAGTTAAGGCAGACGCCGTCCTCTCGCGACAACAGGAACGTCAGCATGGCGGTGCTCCTTGAAACGACGCTGGGCGATATTGTAATCGATTTGTTTACAGACGAAAGGCCTAAAAGTAAGAAAATGAAGCATTTTGCACATAGCAGCAGCTAATCTTACGAACTGGTTGATAGCTGAGTTAGCCATTAGCGAGCTGAGTTACAGAAACAGTGGGTGCTAGCTAATGCGGTTAGCATGTTTGCCTTCTATTCATTTATTTAACATTAGCCTGATATGAAAACAGCACAAATAAAGCTAGAATAAACTAACACACACATACACACACGCGCGCGTCTTAATGCTAATATTAAAGATTTAGTCAATTGTAATGACTGTTTGTTTAATTTAACCTCCTTCTTCTTTTTTTTTTACAGCTTGCCTAAACTTTCTGAAATTATGCAAGATAAAATACTACAACTACTGCCTCATCCACAATGTGCAGGTAAAACTAAGCTGTTCCTAACAGACATGTGTAACACAGGTGTGAATACATGTCATGCTTGTTAACTAGGGCTGCAAATAACAATTATTTTCATTGTCGACATTTCCTATATTTGAAATGTTGTTTAGTCGAGAAAGTGTCCGAAAATGGTGCTAAATGTTGATCAGTGTTGCCTGAAGCTCAACATGACAAATGACTTGATTTGTCCACAACCTAAAGATATTCAGTTTACTATCATAGACCAGTGGGGAAAGCAGACACAATATTTACATTTAAGAAGCTAGAATCAGAGAATTCTGACTATTTTCTTGTCAAAATACTATAAATAATGGTATAATTAGTAATCAATCAGTAATTGCAGCTGTAGTTCAAAATTTGATGCAAATTACATTTGTTTCTCCTGATGAGGGTGCTATAATCAAAGATGAAAAGTGTCCACACAGGTGGATAGATAAACTTTATTTGTCACATACACATTTATACACTGTACAATGCACAGTGAAATGTGTTTTGTACTAGAATCCAGTTTCAATTCAAAAAAATGTTTAAGAAATATATATACCTTAGCAGGAGAAGATGGCTGGATGGATATATACATAAATAAGTCAAATAAAGGTATAGTTAAGATGAGGGGTTGACCGATGTCTTTTTCAGTACTAATGCAGATTAATCAAAGAGACCAATTGCTTATATTAAGTGTGAACGATATGACAAACAAACAAACAAACAAATAAATAAATAACTGTGTTGACTGGTTGGTCGATATGCTCTCATCTGACCTTCTCATTGGCCGGACAGTTGCAGGCGTTACTTCCATAAGGACAAAAGCACGACACCAACAGCCTTCCAGGAATAATCCATGAATAATGGACACCATGTTACAGAAGTTGCCAGTTTGGCTGCATTTTGTTCAAACAAATGGTCAAAGAGTTTAGTTTAAACTTTGCAAACAGCAGTTTGCTGATTTGGAAGGGATACACATGTGCAGTAAAAATTAAGTTTTGTGGCAAAGAGTGACACAAACACCATCACATAATTGTGTGGGATGCTTTATTTATGTTTTCCATTGGCTAAATTAAAAGGGAACCTTTCAAGATTTCTACTTCATTGATACTATAGTGTATTGATTAGGTATTGCTTGTGATGTGAAAACACTAAGGTTGTGCCGAGGGCAGGACATTGCTTTGGACCAAAGACTGACACCAGCTGCATCAGAGCCAAAGCAGCACATTTAAAAAAGTATTTATTTGATCAGAAAGTGGTTAAAAGAGTATACAGATACAAATAATCATATTGTTTGTTTATTCACTCCTCTTATATTCATATTGTAGCCAATTTCCTGATCTAAATTCTCAAAATATAGAAATATTGTGACAAACTTTATTTATATGAAGAGTTTGTGCTGAAAATCTCCACTTTCCTATTTGAGGTTCTGGTGAATATGTTGTGATTTCCAAATTTCCAAACATCCAGCTTTAAAGTGTGGCACCATGCCTGACATGCTGTAAACGTGTTTTTGGCTTCTATTCAGAGAGACTTCATCATGCAGATGGGAGATCCCACTGGAACAGGCCGTGGTGGAGAATCAGTCTACAGGTCAGTCACTTTTGATGTTAGTATTCTTTACAAAGCAAGTTGGGCACAGTGACATTTTTTTTTTCCTCCTCTGTGTTTTTAGCAAACTCTACGGGGACCAGGCCCGCTTTTTTGATATAGAGAAAGTACCGCGTATCAAACACAAGAAGAAGGGGACAGTATCTATGGTGAACAATGGAAATGATCAACATGGTTCTCAGGTAAATAGGATGGACATTCACTGTCGTTTGATCCGTAAAGTTGAAAGCTTTCAGACCAGAAAAAAATGAAAATGCTTGATCATTTTTGTAGACAGACTGGCTGCATGGTCTCTCTTGATCTGCCATCAAGTTAAATGCCATTACAGTTAAAACCAGAAATTTACATACACTGTATAAAAAGACATCTATCTATCTGACATTAAATGTGACTAAATGTTTCTTGTTTTAGGCCAGTTAGGATTACCAAAGTTATTTCTATTTGCTAAATGCCAGAATAATAAGAGAGAGATTTTTTAGATATATTTTTTTATTATTTTCTTCACAGTCAGAAGTTTACATACATTTCCTTAGTCTCTGGTAGCGTCGCCTTTAAACTGTATGACTTTGGTCAAATAGTTTGTGTTTCCTTCCACAAGCTTCTCACAATAGTTTGATAGAATTCTGGCCCATTCTTCCTGATATAGCACTGGTGTAACTGAGTCAGCTTTGTTGACTGCCTTGGTCACACATGCCTTTTCAGCTCTGCCCACAAATTTTCATGTGGAAATGAAATTGTACCCAAGGATGAACCAGACTTGTGGAGGTCCACAATTCTCTTCCTGATATCTTGGCTGATTTCTTTAGGTTTCCGATGTTGCCACACAAGGAAGTAGTGAGGTGTGCCTTAAAATACATTCAGGGGTGTGCCGTCAATTAACTAATATTATGTCAATTAACCTATTAAAAGCTTCCAAAACCATGACATCATCATCATCTGGGCTTTCCCAAATAGTTTGGAGGCACAGTAATCTTGGTGTATGTAAACTTCTGACTTTGAAGAAAACAACGAAAAGTTCTCTAGAAAGTCTCTCATTATTCTGGCGTTTAGCAAATAGAAATTATTTGGGATCCAAACTGACCTAAAACAGGAAAAGTTTAGTCACATTTAATGTCAGACAGTGAAAAAAAGCATTTACATAAAAGCAATTATATATACACTTACAGCTGTTCCTGCAAATGATCCTGCATGATCGGCTACAGGATGTATTTAATATGTTGTTATTCTTCTTCCTAGTTCCTTATTACAGCAGGGGAAAACCTGGACTATCTGGATGGAGTTCATACTGTGTTTGGGGAAGTGACAGAAGGCATGGACATCTTGACCAAAATCAATGAGACCTTTGTTGACAAGGATTTTGTCCCATTCCAGGATATTAGGTGAGACAGGAAACACTGTGTATGTAGCATATAAGCTATATATATATATAGCTTAAGGTTTGACTCAGCAAAACCTCACAACATTTAGTTTCACAATCATGAGTTTAAAAAAATGTCATTTTGCCATAGGATAAACCACACAGTGATACTGGACGACCCATTTGATGACCCTCCTGACCTGCCAGTTCCTGATCGATCACCTGAGCCCACCAAAGAGCAGCTAGATGTAAGCACAATACCACTGTTTCACAAAATACAGTGCCACAAAACATTCACTAACCCTCTAAACTCAGAAAACCCACAGTCTGGTTTGAAAAGCATGTTACTGCTTTAAAAAAGCACCACCGTTACACAATTTATTAGCTAGAAACAGTGAAAACAGAAAGAATCGTCAGATTTTCAACTTTTCAACACTGCATGAACCAATCCTGGGGGACGTGTTGGTACCCTCAAAAAATATGAACCAAATCTAAGCCTTCAACCATGATAACTAATCCGATTCACTTTATTCTGCACTTCTCATTTGAAACACACAATAACATTGTGAAGTGCAACACATGTTAGCAGGCAGCAACAAATTAAGTGCAAAAAAAAAGAATTTGTAAAAGAGGATAAAATGGTATATAACAATAAAACAAGGCAAAATCAGAATCAGAACAGGATAACAAGTAATGAGATCAAAGTTTAAGATAACGTGAATATGAAATACAAAAGTTTAGGACCATTAAGAACAAAGCATTTGGTGAAAGACAAAAAAATATGCGTTTCTTAGTGTAACCATGGAGCCATCAGTGACTCAGCTACAACCAGCAGTTATGTGACAAATATTCTGGGTTTTTTTGGGTGAACACAGCACATAGGAGACACAAATGAAAAACCTAAGTTGCCAAATACCTACAGGACACACCTGGATTGAACATGTCCCTATGGTCACATTATTTTCAGTCTTTTCTGGGGGCACCATCATTTTTGTCCAGGCCTGTTTCATGAGTTTATTTTTTAAAATAATTCTGTTGAATCACTGTTCAAAAGCAATGTCTGATTTTCATTGCTTCATTTTCATTGAATTTTTATTTATTATTACTTTTGTCAGATTCAAATTATTTGTGTGACCGTTGTGGGTTTTTCTTTCATTAACCGAGGGGTACCAACTATTTTGTCCATGTGTGTACAGTATGTAGAGTCACTATGTTCTTTCCAGTATTGGTAGCACCTGTTGGCACTTGGAAAACTGTTGTACATGTCGAATCAAGGTTTTTATACATTTTTGTAAAAGAAAAATTGAAAGAAATTTTAACTTCAGTTTTTTTATTTTCTGTTATGATTTATTGCATAACAGAAAATAAACTATTGCACAAAAGATATTTTGACTTCTCTCTACTTCTAGTCATGGTTGGTCTGTTTCCATAGAGGTGCAGGACTTTGTGTTACAGTGTAAGATAAAAAAAAATAAGTGAGTAAAAATGTGACAGGAGGAAAAAAACAGTCAGAACTGCTTGGAGTTTTGAGGGTTAACAGATATTCAGAACAAGATAATGCACATTTGCCACATTGTTTTCTCCAGAAATTAAGTGAAGATGGGAGCAAATGCTTTAAAAAGTTGTAAATATAGTTTATACTGCCTAAATAACCCCCAGTGTTTCTGCTATGGATGTGCAGAGTGGCCGTATTGGAGCAGATGAAGTAATCGATGACACAGATGGGAAAGGAGCCGAGGAACTGGAGGAGAGGCTGAAGGAGAAAGAAGCCAAGACTCAGGCCATCCTGCTGGAGATGGTGAGACAGAGAAACGCCGCTCTCCGTCATCTGCTGAAGATACCAAAGGTTCAGTCATTCACTCCTCTGTTGTTCCTTCCTCCAGGTGGGCGACCTCCCCGACGCAGACGTGAGGCCTCCAGAGAACGTGCTGTTTGTGTGCAAACTGAACCCAGTGACCACAGATGAAGACCTGGAAATCATCTTTTCCCGCTTTGGGTCCATAAAAAGGTGACGCTGACCTCCCTGTTCTACAAAATTATTGTTTTGTAATTGTTTAGAAATGATCTGTGCCTGTGGAAATGTTACATGTGCTTTTAATTTGCTTCATTTCTAAATTGCCTTTTGGCTTTACCTGAATACAATTCTTGTGCATGTTTTGTGCAGCTGTGAGATCATCAGAGACTGGAAAACTGGGGATTCCCTCTGTTACGCTTTTATCGAGTTTGAAAAGGTGAGCATCTTATGTGTGTACATGACATACAATATTTCAATAATACAACTGTATCTCTGACGATTGCAATCATACTTACTCTGCTTGCCTGACTAGCCTAAATTAATTATATATAAACAGAAAATATTTGTATTAATAGCACATGATTCATTTGAAGCTGGTTATTTTATAGCAGACCAGCGTACAGGTACCCATATTCGTATGATTTCTGAGAACAGAAGTATATCACCTAGTGATCTCAGCACAAGAGCTATTAGTAAATTTAATGCAGACAAGTTAGTTTACTATTTTTAGATGATGTACCATGTGGGTTGTTGAGCTCTTATTTGCAAACTGCTGTTTGCAAAGTTTAAACTCAACTTTTTGGCCATCTATTCAGACAAACTGCAGCCACACTGGCAACTTCTGTAACATGGCGTCCATTAGTTTGGAACCTATATGCATGAATTAATGCTGGAAGGCTGTTGGTGTAGTACTAATATCCTTATGAAAGTAACGCCCGCAACTGTCCAGCCAATGAGAGGGTTGGATGAGAGTGAATTGACCAACCAATCAAATAGTCAACCCATTTATTTTGTGTATTTTTCAGACTTAATATAAGGTATCTGGAGATCTAGAGTTTAAAGGAATAGTTCAGCATTTTGGGAAATATGCTTGTTTTCTTTAATTATAGTCATAATAATACACTTTATTTCTAGAGTAATTTTCAAGCTTCTGAGACACCTCAGATAACAAGTTAAAATGATCCTAAACATACTAAAACATACTGAGATGTCATGACTTTGATGACACACACAACCAGTTTATCTTTAGCAGGCCTCAGCATCTTACTGTTTTGTGTGTGATACGCTTGAATGCTCCGGATGAGGAAATATGACACGATACCAAACTTATACAAGCATACAAATATCTGATATTTGGTATATCTGGTGAAAGGGACAAGTGAAAAGGAAAACCCCCTGCAGTAAGTGAGTAATGGAAATCAATCAGTCATAAGTTTGTTTGTGTAGGGATGTGTTGAGTACTGGTTCAGGGTTGTTAAGGTCAATGGAGAAGTGAAAGTTAGATAAACACGTTGTATAATATTAGATTTACCACCAATCTAGTTAATTGTTTGGTCGCTGTTCATCATGGAAACTTAAGCGTCGTGGAATGTGCCCTCGTTTACGACTCATAATTACCAACTCCACCTGCTCAAGGTAACTTCCTTGTGGTAAACGTATAAAGTGACACTTGTGTGAGATAATGAGGGGAACACCATATGCACTGTTAGATTTTTCAGTGATTTGGGTAAATCCTCTGCAGATGGTGTTTTTTTTAGTGAGGGGATGTGGTGATGTACGCTTTCCCCCCCTTGTCCTGAACACATTCATCGACTGCACTGAAATGGGACAAACAAATTTTGACAGCTGCAGTGAATATTTAAACCATTAGAGGGCGCTAGGTGGCTTGTTGTAGGTAAAATGTGTGTTTTCCTCAGACTCCTGCCAGCGGCATCCAGTTATAAGACAGTGATTTGATGGATGCTGCCAAATTGTTGTTGCATATGAGCCAAAAATAGTGCTGTCACGAACATTAAGGTGAATGATTTTTGTCTACGCATGGAGGAGGAGTGCATTTAATTCAGATATAGAGAGGTTTCATATTGACAGATGAGTAAAATGCAGGTTTTTTTCAAAGTCTGGTTTTGCATAAAAGCCAGTCATTGTCTTTATGAAGAGAAGCTGCCCTCCCCCTGCAGTCTGATGAATATCTGAGCATCTGTTAGAAGCAGTGGTTTGGCACTTCACTTTAAACATATCCTCTGTAAACACTTGTGATGAAGACCTTGCTTGTTCTCAGAAATCTGATAACAGACACAAAATGAAGGACATTTTTTGGCAAAGATTCAGTCTGTCGTTCTGTATCCTGCACTGAGTGAAATGCAGAAAAACATCAGGATGGGCCAACTTTATTTAGAATATTTTTTTTTTTATTTATTGTTTGCTGAGTTTGCATAGAAGCTCTCAAGGAGAATGTTGGAGGTTCAGATTGAATGTGTATTGACATTTTTCTCAAACATAATCGAAATCAGAGCTGCAGATGTAGTTGATTAATAGATTTCGATCACATACTTTTTCTGTTTGTTTTTCTTATATTTTTTCCTTCTGTCTCTACAGCAAGAAGAATGTGAGAAGGCCTACTTCAAAATGGACAATGTGCTCATTGATGATCGACGCATACACGTAGATTTCAGCCAGTCAGTTGCGAAGATCAAATGGAAAGGGAAAGGTACTCGTGCTGAAACCTCTGTGGTTTTTGTGTATGTTTGTACTTATGTACCTACATGTGAACACAGAGGTGAAGCTAGTTTCTGTCTTCAGTGTTGAGTTCATACAGCATTTTATAAGCAGAGATTGAGTCGTGACCTTCTCTGTGTCCAAGGTGGGAAATACACTAAAGACGACTTCAAAGCCTACGAGAAGGACGTGGAGAACCGATCCAAGCTGGCTCTCAAGGATCAAATGAAGCCCAAACAAGAGTATCCTTGTGTGTTAATAGGCTGGGATTGAATTTTCCAGATTTTCCGCTTTGTGTCATAACATATCATTCTGCAGTACGCAACCGTACATACTGGTTACTGTGTACTTTTTTGGCCGTTTGATTTGGCAGACATTTCTCACTGTGGCTTTCTCACCTTCCCGGTGATTTCCATAACTTTCCCAAAAGCTCCAAGTACGACCTGCTAATGGAGGAGGAAGAGGAGGCGACGAGTCACCGGCACGCTGAGAAGAAACACAAGGAGAAGAAGCATCACCATCATTCAGATGACGAGAACAGCAGGAAGTCCAAGAAGCACAAGGTACCTTCGCCCTGTCGCACCTGCTCCATATTTCACTTGCTTAGCCAACACTGATTACGAATATTTGGTTCTCGCGGAGATGAAAGGATGAAGATAAAGGGAATTCTTGTGTCTTTCTTAATGCTGCATTTTGTTTTTGCAATTACTGCATTAAGCTGGTATTATCCTGAAGCTACAGCTACAGATGTGTTTAGAATGTTTGCAGGACTATGAGAACTTTGTGTGTACATTATTCATCACATGTATTCCTTTACATAGATGTGCAAAAAAAACAATTGTATATTGACAATTGATATACATTTGCTGTGCAAAACTAGTTGATTTATATAAAACTTATCATAAATCAAATACAACCCCAAGCTGAACAAAAAAAATGTTTAAGAATATGACCAAAAATAAAGTAGAACATATTAAATTAATAATAACAAAAATGAGCAATAAGAAATGACAGTAAAACTGCAAATCAAAATAAAAGATGAGGCTCAAACAGGTAAGTTTTAAATGTTCTTTTAAAGATTTCTACACTTTCTGGCCCTCTTAAATGCATCACTTCAACTCAAATCTGAGCCATCAAACCAATAGTGAGTCAGCGCTTTAAACTGTGAATATTTGTCTTTTTACAGAGGTGGGGCAGGATATTCTCCTGTCAGAGCCTACATTATCTCAGCTCAGGTTTCAGCTGCACAGAGATGGAGAAATAAAGAGTGTAGGCTCAGGTTGTAGTCCATTTAGAGCGGTAGAGTCCTGGTTTAATTGTCGTTGTAGCTCTTTCTTTATTCTAACCAGCTGATTCATGAACTTGTTAAGCACATATCAAAGGTGCACTATTTGACATTCAGGGCTTTTCCTGTGTGTTGAAACAACTTACCAAACACCTGACCGCTTCAGGAAATAAAGACGGAAAAATTCAACTGAAACAACAGCCAGACTACAGACACTACAGCAAGGAACCAAATAGCACCAAGACCTGTTTATGTTTATTTAGCGACAAATTCATAGTGATAAGTTTTATATGGGATTAACCTGACGTGCCATCAATAGTTACAATTGTGTTTAGCAAAGATACAGTTACTGTGGTTTTGCAAACAACCAGTTTACTGTCAGTCAGACACACTAGAGCCTTCTTACAAGAAGCGGGTTTACTGAAGTATTTGCATTATTATTGGGTAACTCCAGGAAAAGTGACAAAGCAGTTTCAGATTACTTCGCAAACCGGATTCTTTGAACAGGCCTCCACAAGCTCAGATGTTCATAAACACAGAGGCTTCACCTTGCTGTGTCCCAGTTCCATTTACCAGGACAAGACGAGGAAAAAAGACTGCATTACTGGAATGAGGGGGAGTGTCATAGTTTGAACATGAACTTCAAATTATATTTCTGTCCTTTTTTTTTTTTTTTTTTTTGCAAATGTGGCAATATTGTTGTGAAGAGACAATCCATATCAGAATATTTTTGTGATATTAAAAATACCGTATTTCCGTGGTTGTTTCTGTCAGCGGTGGGCTCGCTGCCACTTCATTACCGTACATAAGTCTGTTTTACAGCATCTGCGTTTGTATTTCAGGAGGTACCTGGCCGGTGGCCCAGTGTGGTTTGATGTTGATCCAGATTGTTTACTCTGACCTTTGATATTTAGAGTTTCCTTGTTGTCAGTAAACGTTATCTGTCAGTTCGTCGTGACTTGCACACAGAGAGCAATCTGTTAGAGAAGAGATAAAAGAAGGCATGTTTGCAAATGTGCAGCGAGCTGTTTGTAGCGTAGCTCAGAGTGTTGATAGATGGACTACATTTCTATCTGCAGAAACTTTGCAGCAACAGTTTTTTTTTTTTAAATCACAAAACTGGAGGGATGAACACCATTCACTGACCAAAACATATTCCCTCATTCAGTGTTTCGATGATGATTGTGGAGAGCAGCTTTGTACAAATTGCTCCAGAATCGCCGATAATTCACATCGTTTTCATCAAACTATTCAGTGAAGCGCTATGAGATGACTTGTAGTTGTAAATATGCGCTATATAAATAAAATTGAATTGAATTGATGTCTTGTAGGGGCGATATCATCCCAGAAGGCTCCAGGATAGAAATGTTTTATCAGGAAAAAGATGATCACTCAGAGCAGCTTTACATTGATTTTAGGTGACTGTTCCCTCTAAACAGATATGTGAACCCAAATCCAGCCAACAAAATGCCTCTGCAGCATAACAGAGCCACCACAACTCCTCTCTGTAGAGATCAACTGTCCACAACTATATCTTGTCTTAGTGTACGTCACATATACATCTGTGCTGTTATAGCATGTATGTATAAAAACCTACAGTAGGCTGTAATCACTTCATGACTTAAAACGTATTTGCACAAATGACATTCTGTAAAAAAATTAAATAATGTTGCACTCCTCAGCACAACATTCGAGGTCCGTCTACTTCTAGCCACAGTCGTGCTGCGGCCATAGAGATGCAGGACTTTACGCTGCAGTGAATAATGAACCCACAGTGATTAAAAATGTGACAACACCTAGAAAGTGCTTGCGGTTCAGAGGGTTTAGCATTTGAACTTGCATAAATTTGGTCTTAAGGAGGACAAATGTCTTCCATATTTTTATTTTTCAATCACCTTTTTGCTTAATTTACAGTGGTGCTTAGTAGAACTTGATGATCAAAAAATCAAAATTAGAGCTGTTGATAACAATCAAACAAAACTAGCCACCAGATAAGTTAGTAGTCCCAGACATGAGTCAAACCTTGTACTCAGGATGAATAAGCTCTAAACACAATGACTCTTTATAGTTATTACAAGACCGTAGAATTACCTTGATTTGTCTGTCATCAGCAAACCTAACCACACCCACATACACGCATCCATAATCCCTTGATTAAACGCGTCATTCTTCACAAAGCGTTGCCACATAATGTTTTACATTTCCCAAAAATGTATTGCTGTTTTGTAGGTGCAGAGGAATTGAGGGTGTGTGTAGTCCTTGAACATGAGACACCCCTGACATTTTCCAACATGGTTTCCAGGAAAAAATAATTGTTTCATACTGGGGCAAATGTGGTGAAAATTTAATGAAAACAGATCAAATACAAACAAACCTGAATACAAGATTATTGTTTATGAAAACCTCAAGAGAGACAATCAGGAAAAAAGTCTTCGTGCAAATCATCTTGTAAGCTTGAAAACAACCTCATGCATGTAACTTTTTCAACTTTCGTCCCGTCTCTCCCTTCTGATTCCACATTTCCAGGAGAGCGAGGAGAGCAGGCGTGACAGGAAAACCGGCCGCCAGCGCTCTCGCTCGCGATCCCGATCCAGAGACCGAGACCACAAACACAGCAAGTCCCGGGTCAAACACGGGAAAGAAGGTCGAGACAAAGGCCACAGAGACCGAAGTCGCAGCCGCTCGCCCAAGAAGTCCAAGGATAAAGACAGGAGTAGATACAGATGAGGGAGGATGCAAAAGAAAGATGCTTCACCTTAATCTTATTAAATGTCTTTGTGGCACAGCTGTACTTAGCATGACGTGATGTTCATCAACCTAAACTTCCCTTAAAATCACCTTCTTTGACTGTCAATAGAAAGTCCTTGTCACATTGTCTACATGAACAAAGTTGAATTAAAAGAAATGCCTTTTTTATATAAACATTAAAAAACATCCGCCATAATGTGGTCGTATCAGTTAATCAGTATCAATCCATTTCATTTGAATACCATGACAGACTTCCCCGTTATACTTCCTCACCACAGTCCTCTTCCTCTTACACGCTGCTTGATTTAGAATAAACGTGGTCGATGATTAATATTCCACCTTTAACTTTCTGACTGATGGGTTTTTTTTTTCTTTCAATTTTGTTTGTTTTTTTTTACATCTGTAAAATGTCGGCATGGAAAATTGCTGGGTGTAGAGTGTCTCCACAGTGTTGAGGGAATTCACTGGTGTCTCCCTCCACCCACATGCTCTCGCTGGGGTGATGCACCGACTCAAAATGTCACTGCACAAACTCAGAGCTGACATCCGTGCCTGCAAGTTCGAGGTAAATTTAGAGGAAACTTTAGATGTGAGATAATGAGGAAAGCAATATTAGAACCGTATTCTGAGATTGTTAACAGCTAATTAAGCACTTTATTGGAGATATACTGTCTTAAAAATAGGCCTTGGTAACTGTTAAAACTGGAAAAATTACAGTAGGAATGTGTGGGCTGAAATTCTTTATTTACGTATAGTATGGTAGTTATATTAAAAATAAAGGGACAATTTTTAAAGAACTTTCCAGTAATGTATTTCACAAATTAGTGGGCATCTTACCATGAAGACATCACTTTCACTCTACCATGTGCTCAGCTGTGACATGTACTCTGCTACATGTGCTGCTCCCATTTAGATCACAGTGCATTTAAAATGTGTGCACCTCCCTGAAGCTTTTCCCATTTATTGCTTCGTTATATATAACATTAAATCATGGTCAATTAAATTTACGCCCCTGAACAAGAATCCCCCCCATTAAAAATCTAACGTAAATGATTGCGTAACTATTCCCTCCTTTAGAGTGAGTAATCAAACTCAACACGGGTGCAGCCAGTTGGTGCTCAAAGTTACACAGTCGATTAAAAATGAAGATCTGAGTGCAGGGAATGTGTCGCAAGTGGTTGTAGTATCAAGACACCTTTATCTAAATTAGTACTCCTGTAACTATAACTACACCATGAAGACAGAAGAACACTCCTAGCAACTCAGTAAAAAGTACATTAAAAAGCAGGGGGTGGAAACAAGAAAATGTCCAAGTCTGACTAGAGCAGGCCGTCCTCAAAAACAGAGTAACTGCAAGACAAAGACAAGTGAAAGTGGCCACCAAGACACCTAGGACTTGTCGGATGTATGTAAGGACACCGTTTCTGAAGCAGCTGAAATCCTGTATATGCTGATACAGACATATCGACTGGATTGTAGCTTAAACCTTGTGTTGTGACCCCAGAAATGAACTGTAGTTTTAGTGTCGTTCTGAAAATGTCCAAAGTTACACATTTGTCAGATACACCTATAGGGAAATGTGAAAGATCAGAAATGGGGTTTTGTCCTATTTGCATTCAGAAGGTGAAATACAGAGCCAGAAAAATCCAACATTTGCTGAAGTAATGAATTTACATGTGTTCAAAATACAATTTGTAGTCTGAACACTGGAAATATTCAAAGCATTGTCGCAGTTAGAATAGAAATTGGTAAAGAAAATGTAATAAAAGCAGTTGAAGTGGCAGGTGTAATGTAAGAGGTGAAAGGTGCTCAAGTGAGTGAGGTGTAAACATTTAAAGCCTCGGATTTCATTTATACTGACAGCTGTAAAGAAGCAGTGCTAATATGTGCAGAGGATGGAGTAAGTATGAAAAGGCAGAGTCTTATTGTTCACTTTGTTTTTCCAAAATGTAGAATTTGTTTTTGAAGTTTGAAGTCCATGTTTATCATAAAATATATGAAATGTGCATTGAAAAGTGTCCAGAAGAAGACGTAACAAATACAATATATTGTAATCTCAGATTTAAAATGTTTTAAACCTTTGAACTTGCACAAACGTGACCTTTTTTGACCAAAACGACATGCTATAGTATGACTTTT